GTTTGGAAGCCTACAGCTAACTAACTCTGAAACAGCAAGGCATTAGAAATTTTATTTTGAAGAAATTGGAATTATTATAAGGAATTATTCTTGGCACAGGTCAGCGCCTAGAGTTAAACGTTTGGCTGCGTTTGGATTCGAGGCATATAATGTACCATTAGACCAAGATACAACACAAAAATAAAATTTAAAGGGCCAACTGTATCACTTCTAAGGATGAAATTCTGATGATTTGTTCTTGTACAATGAAATAAAGGGGTGAAAAAGGCATTGACAGTTACTAACATTCCCCAATGTCACGATATCAGACAAACTGGATTTCAGATTTTCAAGCTGAAAAGTGATACAGACAACTAAAATTTTCTGGACATTTTTGAAAATTTGGATTGTCTTCTTGATGGTCTTTACAATCCCTTTAAAATGTCACTTGTGTCATCACTTCTACCTTCCTATTGAGAAATAATTATATAAGAATTATAACTCGTCAGACTGATTAATTAATTTAATACTAATTAAATATTGATCAGAAATTAATGAGAATTTTATATAAATTTTGATATCATATTATTATTATACTAAATCAACAATATTAACTATGTGGACTCTCTTGAATTGGAAAATTAGTCAAAATATGAAAAATTCAACAGACTTTATAATCTTTCATAAATTTAGAGCTATTTCTGTCATGATTTTGGGTCTACTTTTTTCAATATTCTTAAGATTAATAATTCATATTTTGAGGGCTTTTTTCCATATTTTTAAGACAGTTTTTTTTACTTTCTATAAACAATTTTTTGTCTTTTTCTGGGTTTTAATTTTAGTGTAGCCCACTTTTCCTCAGTTAACTAACTATTTTACCAACTTGTATAACATTACAATAGTTTGAAATTTAAGATATTTTAATCTTAGATCATTTGTCTGGATTTTAACCCTAATTTTAACCCCTGTCAGTTCCCCTGTTCGTCATTCAACACGTGTAGGGGTTGTATGAGGACAGATTTCTACAGTTTCAATGAAATTTAAAGGGTTAAAGAGATTATGATGGTTTTAACAGAAATAGTTGAAATTTTATAGTCCGGTTATTTCAGGACAAGTTTTAGTTGAATCATGAAATTTGTTATTTAACTAGAAGAATATATTTAATATTTAAATTGAATTTCAAAAAAATATTTAAATGATGCTTTCAAATTTTTGCATATATACAATGAATATTCAAACCTACAAATATATGAAATAGGAAAAGATATTAACAACAGAATAGAAAAAACCACAGCAATAACTGTCAAATTACTAGTAAAAATGGCGTAAGAACTTATTAGTCTCGCAAAATACAGTCTTCAGATAATAATGAAGAATAAAGACTTTGAAATTTTTATATGATTTTTATTTTATTACAAGGTTTTTCGTTAACGATTTTTAGTGCATAATTCAGAAAGGTTTAATAGACTTTGCTAAAACAATAAATGTGTATTGACAGTAATTACAAATCAATTAACATAATATATGCAAATTTATTCAATGATTATTTTTGGCTTAATTGTCATATGGGACTAATTATAACGAAAATATTCTAATTAATGAGACAAATTAAAATTTACATTAACTGTGCTCACTAATCTTACCAAAAATTTTTTTTCTTTTTAATACATATTCACAAATTCCTGTTTAAAAATAATACAAATTTACAGCCTTGCCTTTTTTATGAAACTTTCATCTAAAAAATTTAATTTTTATTCTAAAACTCACAAAGTATTGCATTGCAATTTTGGTCTACATCTTTTATGAAAAATTTACAACTAAGTTTGAAAAATGAGAATAACTGCGATGTATTAATTATCGCGATTGTTTATGATCTCAATTCTAAATGATAATATAATATCGAGATATCACCCATTCATTCTTATCATAATAATGCTTGTCATTTTTAATATATTCAGATACCACAAATTTCTTGGGGTTAATTTCAGGGCATTATTGATAAAATTAAATTATATCCTGGTTTCTGAAACAGACGTACTTTTTGAAATTTTTCAAAGATTTGCTAATGCATCTTGAAATATTTTGCGTACAAAGTTTTTGAATGTTCCACTTAGAAGTTGATTTATTTAGTCTTCTCATGGCAAAACTGTAAGAGAATCCATTTTTAATTGGGCATGGGAGGACTGTTTTTATTTATTTAGATAGCTTGATTTAAAAAAGAAATTCTTAAAATGGCCAAGAATCACTTTAACCATGTGATAGTACCAATTGAATTTAACCCCTTAAATGCAAAATAGTCACAAAAAAACCCAAAATTTTTATTCAAATGTAGGCCATAAAAGAACTAATATGTATGTGTATTACACTGGTTATAAATTAACCCTTTAACTGCCACAGATGGTGTATATGTGTATTAGTATAATATATATATAGCATGACCATCTTGATACCTTCTCTTGATTGCCAATAAACAATTTTCCAAATATGGTAAAACCTTATCTGTAATAATTTGCTGAAATTAATCTCAAATTTGAACAAAGTTTTACAAATGGGGTCCATTTGTGATATCAGTTTTAAGGGGTTTTGTTTTTTTAACCATAGGATATATTCCTTTGACCTTTGCAAGTTTTTCAAGGACAAATCCCTAGTATTTCAAGGAAGACTGTAATTGCTAAAAATGCTGGCAATCTTAATACTCTTTGCAATTGTTCAGGTTCTTTAATATGAACTTAAATTTGCAAGTATTTTGCAAAAATTATTAAAAAAAGAAACTTGCTAGATTTTCCTTTTTTTTCATCAAAAATCATTAATCAAAACCATGTATCTAATAATTTTTTGAAAATACTTGCATGAAAAAAAATATTATGGAAAAAATTTCTAAGGCTTGCCTTAATGCTGTGGTTTTTTTTTTCTTGCAAAGGAAATGTAAGCCAACATCCGAAAGCTAAAGATGCAAAATATTACGCAAAATTATGAATGAATAATTATTTACTTACATATTAATAAGCCATATTTGATAAAAATCCTCAAAAATAAATCCACCATTTCAAAATGGCCATCATAATATTAAGCAGAAGGCTGGAGATTTTACCACTAGTTACTAGCAATCTTGACAATATTACACAAACTTGCTCAAACTGTACATTGACCAATTAATTCCCTGCCTTCAAGCTTGACCTCTTCACCCTTAGGGTCATGTGACCAGATCTGACCAATAAGATTATGTAATATTGCCCAATCATCTCCCTTCAATGTTAGTCAATAATGTGTCAATGACTTTTGGAGTGTTCCTGATTAGACTTGTTGATACAGGTCAAACCCCAATTTACTTATAATATACATTTAACCCCTGTCCCTTGACCATGGGGATGCCCAAATTACCACAGTTTTAACCCAAATTTGGGTGGTCCCCTTTTTTTGTAATGAAATGTTGAGTAATGGTTCATTAGCCTCATACACTGTATATTTTTGGTTGGTTAAGGGTTAACTTGAAATATATTTTGATTATATACCTTTAACCCTGTGAAGTTTTCTTAAATGAACCTAATTTGCTGAAATGGGGGTGGTCTACATTTTTGGGGTAGACTATTGCATAATGCCTCATTAGAGCTCCATACTTATAAATCTATTTTGTGGACAATGGATAAGGATGGGTGTCCATCTTCGATGCTTTTTGCTTGTCAATCACTGTTTGAAGAAACCATTTGCTTTTTTGTACCATTGTACCGTATTTTCAATCGGTGTTGAAAGGGTTAACACAAATATTGAAAAATTTCTTTTAATAAAAACACCAATTGCTTTTTTAAATTTTATGCAAATTATATACTAATATACTTTTGGAATATATAGGGTTAACTTGAATTGAACATTTACCAATTTGTTTTGGTTGAGTAAGGGTTAACTGTAAAATGGTGCCCAACATGAAAGCATCACAAAATTATTATGAAAATTGAAGTAACCGATTGCTTTTTACATTTTCACTTTGGTAATTAAAGGGTTAACATGAATTGAAACTCACCAATTTTGTTTTGGGAGAGCAAGGGTTAACTGGAAAATGGTGGCCAACATGAAAATTGCACAAAGTATATTTTTTCAGATCTGTTTGTTGTCCCCAAGGCTATCAAAAATTGATAACTCCTTTACAATACCTCAAGTCAGTCAAAACAATGGGTTTTTAGGGGCTATTTAAGGCCCATTGTTAATTGTCATACTTAGTTGTCATTCTGGTTTGATTGGACTATTAACCCCTATTGTTTTAACATTGTCACTCAAGCGGAACCAAGAGGCTTTCCTTTATCTGACAATCTTCTTTTGATAATCTGAAATTACAAGTTGGCAGCTTTATTTAGGGGCTATATTTTGGAGTTAAAAGGGTTAATTTATGAAAACAATGAAAGTGTTTAGATTTCACTGAATCTTTTAATCAGTCAATCTCAAGTGTTATCAAATATTTAAAATTTCTGTCAAGTTTTAATCTATTGGGAATTTTCAAAATCTTTTTAGTGGCCATTGTTCACGCAGAGAGAGGCTGTGGTCCCCATCAAGGACATCAAGTGGGTTGATGATTTTCCCCCACCCCCATATGATAGATTTATAGATATGAATGTCAGATTCTATTTGTAATAGGCTATATAAAGAGATGGGGAGGGGGGGGGGGGCTTGCAAATTCATCATTGAGGGCATGAAATTGTACTCAAGTTTTGAAACGGTATTTCTCCATTAAAAATCCCCAAAATTTTCTGAGAATAGAGTACAGGTAAATCAGTTATTTCTCATGATTCAACCTGTTTTATTTCAGAATAGCCCTAACTTTAATGTTATAGCGAAATTAACATGCATTACATTAAGTTTCATATAGCATCCCTTTCAACCTGAGTTATTGCCCTTGAGCAAAACATAATACCATTTAAGATTTTAAAACTTCCTTTGAGTTTAAACTTTAAAAGATTCAGAACAGGACATGAAACTATTTCATTTCCTTTTGAGTTATTGCCCTTGATCAACAGATATTTCCATTTCAGACTTTCCGTATACCATTGAGTTTGAAGTATAGTTGTCCGTCACCATCAACATGGAAGCTGGTGATCAATTCCCTGTTTACAGTATTAGATATTGGTTTACCTGTTGCTAGGAAACACGGTGAGTTTCGAAACTGGACAACTTTTTTTAGAGCTGGAAGACAACTTACAAAGATAAAAAAGATTTCTTATGAAAGGGCGGTCAATTCTGCATCCATATCTGCATCTTCGGCCTCACAACATAGAGATCACCAGTTGTGAACAAGAATAGCAGTCATTAGTTTGGAAATCAACTCTCATGCAACTGAGTTGTCAGTCGTGTTCAGAATTCATGACCACTTTCATTATTCACAACCATACACAACTGGTAATCACTATGGTGTGAGGGCAACTTAAGATCAAAATTTCATAAAAGTTGGAGACAAATAGGCCCTGGTTCAAATATGGATCTGGTTTCAGGTCTGCATGTTTAAAACTCAGACATAGTTGGAAATGAAAAAAAAAGCTTACGATAGGAAAATGGCATAAGGCCCATAGGGTACATTTAATGTCATATATGTTCTGTTTTATTTTTAGTGGAAGAATCATCTGGAATGTGGAGTGAACTGTCTCTAACTTTTGAAGAATTTCTCTTCACAAAACAGTAAGTTAAGTTAATAAACTGAGGCCCATGAGCTACAGGCTGTAACCATTAACATCTTGAGATTTTGTAAACAGATTCCCCCTTGAAATTGATATTTCTTAAACCAAGTCTCATAGTAGTAGTCTCATTGGACAGATTATTAATCTTAGTAACGTTTTTTTGCTCCCTTTCAGTCCATCACCACCAACATTAACTGTAGAAGAATTTCAACGTGATGAAGCCATTGATTGTAAGGTATGGTGCTCCAAGTTATTGCCCTGATTTTTCTGATTTTGGAAGATCACCTTCTATTGACCTCACTGTCAAGGTCATTTTATATTTACCTCAACGTCAAGTTCACTGTATATTTATCTCACTGTCAAGGTCATTTTATATTTACCTCAATGTCAAGGTCACTGTATATTCAACTCATTGTCAAGGTCATTTTATATTTACCTCAATGTCAAGGTCACTTTGTATTTACCTCACTGTCAAGGTCATTTTGTATTTACCTCAACGTCAAGTTCACTGTATATTTATCTCATAGTCAAGGTCATTTTATATTTACCTCAATGTCAAGGTCACTATATATTCAACTCATTGTCAAGGTCATTTTATATTTACCTCAATGTCAAGGTCACTTTGTATTTACCTCACTGTCAAGGTCATTTTGTATTTACCTCACTGTCAAGGTCACTTTCTATTGACCTCACTGTCAAGGTCAGTTATACTGTTGTATTATTTCAGGTTGTCTGTGTAATCAGAGATGATATCTTACCATACGCTGGCAACTTGCCAAAAGATTTCATCGTCAAGATCATGGAGATTTTAAATAAAGGTTCGATACATTCGGCAACCTCAGACACATTTATAGGTTAGTATGGCCTGGTCCAAAATCTTCGAAATCAAGCCCAACTGTCCAAGAGATATAAAATCGACAATTTCTGGCATATTTATTTTTTCGAAAAGATGAGTCACATTGTTATTTCTACAGAGGGACCATGACTTCCTACTTTCAAAATTGTATCATTTTACTGAGTGAAAGCATAGGCTGTTGACCTCCTGGAAAATTTTATGGCATCTAAAAAAGCCACTGATGAGTCATATATAAAGATAAAGCTTTAGTTATTGGAATAAGAACTGCCTGGGTAAGATTATAAAATGGAACTTGTGCACCATTCAAAACAAACCGCCCAATCAACACACTTCTACATACAGTTTGTTTTGTAATATAAACAATAAAACTCTGGAATATATTATGAGTATGGGCAAACCCTCTTGTATGAAAGAAGTTGTTTTGATTGGTTAAAATTCAATATCTCTTACTAAGCTATTAGAAAAATGACAAGCTAATAAGACTCTATTTTAAAACTGACCTGCATGTGCACAAATATTGTTGACCTACTTTAGGTGGTTTCCAGATTTTGTATGGTGAAATTTGATTGAAATATCAATATTTTTATTTCAGTATTTTCTGCCCCCTCGTATCATAGTATAGGTAATATATCAATAACCTTGCTTTGTTAATTCCACCCTTTTTCTTTTTCTCTTGATATATACCTTGGTCGTATTTCAAATGTTAACCAGGAGCCGCGGTGGCTCAGTTCGATGCTTGCTAGCTACACCTGAAGGTCCAGGGTTCAATCAAAGTATTGGTCAAGATGATACCCTTGGATTTTTCAACCCACTGACCCTTAGTCCGTAATGCAGGTACGAGGGACTGGCATGGGAAAAAGCGTCTTTCAGGTGGAAATTAAAAAAAGAGTAGATCAATGCCTCTGTCCTGGCAAAATTTCCCTCATTGTACACTGCATAGCATAAGCCGTTTTCATTAGCCAATATGGTGCAAAAAAGGGGGATGGAAAACACCATTCATTTCATTATCAAATTTTAACAGAACTCACAGCATTTTATTACAAATTTTCACAGCAAAGATAATTTCAAAATTTTTGGAAAAAAATCGAAGAAAACTGAAATAAAAATGATTGAAATTTGAATGGATTCTAAATAGTATGAAATATTATAGAAATTTGAAATACAATCAATGAGTAATTTCAAGAATTGCACCCCATTTTATTTAGTTTTGCTTTGTGGTTGTATTTGTGTTTATTGAGTCAGGGCATCTGATTGGGTAGTATTTATTTAGGTGGCCAATCACAGAAAAGGTCTGAAAATAAAATGGCTGATTGAACTCTGTCACTGGGATCATTCGATTGGTGAGTTCTGGATGTTTGAGATTGATAGAATTAACTGAACAATCAATAAAACAAGTTTGAACTGAGTTCAGAACGCGTTCCACATCTGGTGAAAAAATAGATGTAAACAAAATTCAAAATGGCGTAGAAGGAAATAGATTTTGAATGTGATGTATTCCTGTTAAATCTCCAATCGAGGGCCACCATAGTTCCTTGGTCGTTGTATTATTAGTCATATAATATGATGGCTTTGACTCTCCTTTGTAAATATCACTACTGATTAAAATGCAGATCTGTATGTTTTGTTTCATATTTTTTCTGCAGGTGACTCCACTTGCCAAACATGATCTGACAAAATTGTTATGCATCTCATGTTCCAGGTCATTTAATATTCAACCAATCAAATGCTCTGTAATAAAGGATTTCTTCTCTTATATGAGAATTTGTGGGATATTCATTATTAATACACTGACTGTATCAGCCTACTGTTGATTGGTTTGTGTAAAATTTGACTGAACATGATTTGAATAAGAATTTTTTGATGGCAAGTGGAATCACTTACAAAAAACCCACAAAACAAAACATTAAGTTATACTTTTTAATCAAATTATGTAAATAACTTCATATATTATATGATTTTGTGATTTATTTAATGTTTGGTTTCTAAATATATGTTATAACTTCTTAAATATAAGTTATAACTTCTTAAATATAAGTTATATAATAATTCTTCATAACAAATATAGCATTTTCTAAAACTATAATTTGAAATCTGCAGACTCCTTTTGACCTCTGATTGGTCAGGATTATTTTTTGACAGTTGACTGAAAAATCATGAATATTTACTGCTCAAAAGATATAAACTATTTGTGTATTTTTGAATACAAAATTTTGAGCAAGATTTTATTCATTTTAAATCTTCAATTGTTGAAGGTATCTTTGGCTTTTCTGTCCAAAAAAAAAAAAAATTAAGGGTTCAAAGAGTTAGCAGTTTTCAAACTTTCATAACTTAAATCAATATAAAACTTGCATGTTGTTATTTATGTCATAAAATTAATATAGATTTTATAATATACAAACAAATCTTGCCAAGAATATTTATCTTTACGGTAATTTTGGATTTTTTTGGACTTCTGATAAATTTTGAAACAAAAAAGACAATTATAAATGTGCCAAACAGCTTGGAAGCTGACAGATCTGTGTCAAACAGGTCTAATTTTAATTAATTATAACCAAACCTCCTGTGTATAAATGTAATATAAGGATCTATTTGCATCATTCCAATTCTCAGTCAGATGTCAGTTTGTTTGAAAGATAATGGAGGCCTTAACAGTTTAGCATTTCTATAATTGCAGGAACCATAGATATCTTTCCAAAAATTGGAATGATACAAGTAGATGCTCTCAATATCCCTGATACACATTTAAATTTCAGAAAACCTTTTTACTAGAGATCTTTGTACATCATGGCACCTTTGTCTTTTATTTTGAAATTGAGCAATGCTTTTTATGTAACTGCACAATTGGTGTTTCATTTGCATTGGTTGCACACATTTGGCCAGTCTTATTAAAATTAGACCAAACTTTCATTCGGTTTATTAGCTTTTATTTCAATGTTGCCACTTCATTTAGGGTCTAACGACAGCCCTCTTGATCATTTGTCAAACTTACCTTTTGTCACAACCTGAGAAACACCACTTCACATTTGGAGAAGGTAGAAATTTGATTGGTTGAAGAAGACATCATCCAGTTAGGTCAAATGGTTAATTTGCTGAACGTTCAAGAGGGCTGTTGTTAGACCCTTCCTGAAATGGCTTCATTAAAAATACGAGCTAATAAAAAAGGAACGAAACGAAGTTTGGTCTAATTTTAATTAGAATGATATTTGGGCTTTCAATATTTCATGGGTTTTAGCTTCACATCTCATGGTACTTGTTGGTCATACATTGGGTGATGCTGAGTTTTGTGAAGGGATTTAAAAATCATCCTTTGAATCACTGGAAGTGGCATCAGAAGATTTTATTGGCTTGATAGGATTAGAAACAAGGTCTCCTAATGTCCTGATAGGCAATAATCCAACAAGACATGGATTGAGCTATTTCACAATCGCAGAAATTAAGCATTTTAGATACACCTTTCTTTCTTGTCCAAACATTCAAATATTTTTACCTAATTATTTCTCTATTAACGACTATTTTGATTTTGTGGTTTACTCCTTTGCATGGTGTAGTCAGTAGAAAGGTTCTATATGTTAGAAAATCCAGGCAAGACAATGTTATGATTCCACTGCCAGTTCTTTCGAGAATAGGCATTGTGTCTGGTTAACAAAATCTTAAATTCATCCATTTGAAAGGGAGTTTGTGCTTTGTGTTATTTATCAAGTTTTGGGTATCAGCACTCTCATATTTTGTGTCTCTTCATGTATTTTTTTTGTGAAATCCAGGAATTTAAACCCATCTTTTATTGGATAAAAAATTGGTAGTCAAAAATTATTTATAGGGACTTTAAATCTGTTTATATAATTTTATTTAGTTTATTTTAATATAGCCACTTCTTGACCACCTTCTTGAACATTTGTCAATTTGATGACACTGCCAGTCAATCAGCTAAACTGTGTCAGTCAAACTAAGCAATGAAGTTAAGCTTTGATCAAGGAAGGCTGCTATATTAGGAATGATGGTTGAAAGCTGCTTCCATATGGTATCCTTTTGAAGAGGTTATTGGTATTTGTAGTCTTAAAGGGATACAGTCATCTAAATATTTATTTTTCCAGATGATAGGGCTCAATTTCAGCTATCTGTATCATTTTTCAGAATGAAAATTGGGCATTCAGTTTTCGTAAATTAAAATATTTAAATAAAAACCTAGACTATTTAGGGCTCATTTACACTACAAGCTGAGCAGGGTGTGCCGCGTAGAGCGATAAGTAGCACAAGTGTTTAGTTTTCAATCTACAGATGCTCAGTTAAGAGACAATGAACAATTGTAATGGATATAGAGTCTATTTATTCCTTTGGAACATAACGTTTCATTCCACATACAGGTAACGTTCTCAAGTAATAAAGGAATAAATAGAAGTCTGTATCCATAAAAACTCTTGTCTCTTAATGTGCAGTGATACTTCTAAATGTCTTACAAGGATTAGATGTTCAGATGTTTACACCAATCTGAGCTTATTTATGTGCTCTTGTCTGCCTCATCCTGCTCCAGCCAGCTCTACCCTGCTCCAGCCAGCTCTACCCTGCTCCATCCAGCTCTATCCTACCCTGCCCCATCCAGCTCTCCAGCTCCACCCAGCTCTACCCTGCTCCACCCAGCTCTACCCTGCTCCAGCCAGCTCTACCCTGCCCCATCCAGCTCTACCCTGCTCCACCCAGCTCTACCCTGCCCCATCCAGCTCTACCCTGCTCCACCCAGTTCTACCCTGCTCCAGCCAGCTCTACCATGCTCCATCCAGCTCTACCCATCTCTACCCATCTCTACCCTGCCCCATACAGCTCTACCCTGCTCCACCCAGCTCTACCCTGCTCTACCCTGCCCCATCCAGCTCTACCCTGCTCCACCCAGCTCTACCCTGCTCCATCCTGCTCTACCCTGCCCCATACAGCTCTACCCTGCCCCATACAGCTCTACCCTGCTCTACCCTACCCCACCCTGCTCTACCCTGCCCCACCCTGCTCCACCCAGCTCTACCCTGCCCCATACAGCTCTACCCTGCTCCACCCAGCTCTACCTGCTCTACCCTGTCCCACCCTGCTCCACCCAGCTCTAACCTGCTCTGCCTGTACTGTGAACGAACCCTTAGTCTGTTGTCACTTCCATGATATTATTATCTTGTCACTTGTAGTTATTACCAATATTATAACGTCATTGCCTGATAATAACTGCATGTATCAATGTCAACAACGCCTTGAAAATGATGAAAGTCTTGATTAGCATAGTAGGTCTACATATTTGCTGAATTATAGCTAATCCAGCAATCCAAAGGACTTTGATAGAAGAAATTCATCTCTATCAGCAGGAAAAGGCAAAGTTGCTGAATTGTAGTAAACCAGATTTAGGATTTCAATTCTGATAAGTGATATGGATGGCTGTAATTTAACACCATTTTGAAAATAAATAGGAAGTCAATTTTATGCTGATTTTAAAAAAAGTATTCCACCTTCTAATTTCAGATACTGAATCCAGTCGTAAATTACGTGAAGAGTTTGCTAAAACCTGTTTTGAGACGCTACTTCAATTCTCGTTTATAAATCAAGATAAAGAGGGGGAGGGGGCAATAACTAAAATAGCTGTATTATCATTATTACAACGCTGTCAAGATGTCGTCAAGAAATATGTCGATGATGAAAGATTGAGTGGAAAATGTCCTCTTCCAAGGTACGTTTATCTTGATTTTCCAAAGGTTTATGAGTCACACTACATAAAACCCTTGAACCTTAAAGCCCAACTGTTGACAATTTGCAGGGTAAATCAGAAATGAATTGAATGGAGTTTTACATCCTACTTTTCTGCATCAGGGTAAATCAGAATCAGGAGAGCTAGACATGAATCTCTCCAATAGTGGAAAGGAAAACATCCTCTTTCACAGTATGATAAGCCACAATGTTTACAGCCTCTCTGTCAAGAGCTCTGATTGGCTGTATTGGCTGGTGGACAATGCAATTGAACGCCACATTATTTGAAATAAAAAAGATGTCTATTGCTGTCAAGGTATAAGACGAAGTTTGTAATAGCTTACCATTGTGAAAAAGGGGGAAGGCTTATTAGCAAATTAATCATGAATTCTTTATTGATTTAACAATTATTAATTCCTTTTGCAGACCCAGAATGGCTGAAATGTCTTCAGTTTTAAAAGCAATTTCAACTTTACTTGGTTCACTAAAAAGGGCACCCAAAAATAATGGTAAGCTAAATCTTTTCTTAAGATAGAAGAAAACTTTTTGATTTATTCATTTCACAAAGAAAGTAAAGTAACTAAGCTCTTCGAGTATGGTACAAGGATGCAGCAATTAAAAGCAAGAAGGGAGATAACTCTTGTATAAATACTAAGAATCAAGAAACACAATTAATTTACAATTGGAGAAATGTTAGTGTTAATCTTTCCTCAATGAGTTAATTGTAGGGACATAACTCTTGTATAAATTATTCAAGACCACTAATAATTTATAAAATCATTTAGTTGACAAATGGCAAAACCAGTAAACATTTAGTCATATCATTGAAGGGAAATAACTCTTGTATAACATACTCAAGACCACAATGAATTAATTTAGTAATATTTTTTTTTCAGTGGAGGCTGGTGTATGGAAGCAAGTGATAAACTTATATCCATATTTAGTAGAGTGTACGACCACATCAAGTCCTCATGTTTGTAAGGCCTTAAAAGATGCCCTTCATGAATATAAAGACTTGTTATCTGCCCCTGGCAGTGGAATACCCAATGGAAAATGAATGTGTGATCTGGAATAAAATGTTTATCACCTGACTGAGAGTTTTAATAAAAATAATAAACTTTTATCATACAGGTTATATTATATTATCTTTCTGAACACAATTAGGCATGTTAAATTTGAAATGATGTAAACAGTTCTCATTGTATTCAAATGAAGAGAAATTTGCTTGTTGTACTCAACAAATTCCTGGTCAAACTTGTATCTCTGTATTTAAAAATATTATTGTATATACAAAAACATGGCATGTAGATTTTCTATGTAATATAAAGTTGAATTTGTTTGTGGGATAAATTTTAAAATCTATTAAATTAAAGTCAGATATATACTCATAATGAATTTTGTTGGACTCCTGCTCACAACAGGTTCCCCTTTCCCACCCTCAAATATTTCATTTCATGATAGCTTCAATAATTTTTCATGGTAGATTTTCATGATAGCTTTATTTATCTCATTAGCTTTAATAATATTGTAGATTTGATAATTCATTTTACTGTAGCTGTAATATTTTCATGGAAGTTTTAATATTTCTTTCATGAGCTTTAATATTTCATTTCATGGTAGCTTTAATTTAATATATTTCATGGTGGCTTTAATATTATATTTCATGGCAGCTTTAATATTTCATGTTAGCTTTTATAAAATATTTTAATGGTAGCTTTAATATTTCATGGTAGCTTTAATATTTTGATGGTAGTTTTAATATTTCTTTCATGAGCTTTAATATTTCATTTCATGGTAGCTTTAATTTAATATATTTCATGATGGCTTTAATATTATATTTCATGGCAACTTTAATATTTCATGGTAGCTTTAATAAAATATTTTAATGGTAGCTTTAATATTTCATGGTAGCTTTAATATATTTCATGGTAGCTTTAATATATTTCATGGTAGCTTTAATATTTCATGGTAGCTTTAATTTAATATATTTCATGGTAGCTGTAATATTTCATGGTAGCTTTAATTTAATATATTTCATAGTAGCTTTAATATTATATTTTAATGGTAGCTTTAATATTTCATGGTAGCTTTAATATTTTCATGGTAGCTTAAATATATTTCATGGTGGCTTTAATATTATATTTCATGGCAGCTTTAATATTTTATTGTAGCTTGAATATTTTATGGTAGCTTTAATTTAATATATTTCATGGTAGCTTTAATATTTCATGAATAAAGCTACCATGAAAATATTAAAGCTACCATGAAAATATATTAAAGCTACCATGAAAATATATTAAATATTAAAGCTACCCTGAAATATTAAAGCTACCATTTAAATATAATATGAAAGCTACCATGAAATATTAAAGCTACCATGAAAATATATCAAAGCTACCATGAAATTTAATATTAAATATACCATGAAAATATAACAACTACCATGAAATATTAAAGCTACCATGAAAATATATGAAATATTAAAGCTACCTTGAAAATATATAAAATATCAAAGCTACCATGAAAGTATTAAAGCTACCATGAAAAATATTAAAGCTACCATGAAAAATATTAAAGCTACCATGAAAATATATCAAAGCTACCATGAAAAAATATTAAAGCTACCATGAAAAATATTAAAGCTACCATGAAAAATATTAAAGCTACCATGAAAATATATCAAAGCTACCATGAAAATATATCAAAGCTACCATGAAAAAATATTCAAGCTACCATGAAAATATATTAAAGCTACCATTAAAATATTAAAGCTACCATGAAAATATATGATATATTAAAGCTACCATGAAAAAATATAAAACTACCAGAAAAATATAA